AAAAAAATTTATTTTGACGGTTAGAAAATTTTAAAGCGGTTTTGGTAATTCAAGAGGATTTTTCTTTTATAAAAACAAAAAAACCGTTTCATTTCTCTTCGCATCTACTTAATCTACGGATGAAAACGCTTGGTCAGCGGCAAGGTTGCATGGCAACATGAAGTATTAACACTAAGGCATGCTGGATAGCAATTTTATTTTCAAAGAAAGTCACTCTCTCTTATCGGCTGTAGCTGATTCGGAACTCACTTGTAACTCTTCTCTCAAACTTACCTTTGTTTCTCTTATCCAGGCCAGCATTGCATCTAACCGGTGTGACTTATCCCCAGTTCCCACCTCCATGTCGAACTTCATCTTCACCCGAGTGCGGCCCTGGGGCGAGGCTCCACTGTCGTTCGAGTCTATGAAGAAAACAAAAGTAAGAAACGTAACTTTCACCTCAGCACTTCTCCAAAAAATTCCAAAGCCGACATTTTGATAGTATCCCTGATTTGGTATCTTCTTTTCTTACCGTCATCTAATCCCTCTGCAGACATGATGCGAGCAACAGTTGTTCTAGTTTCCGTGGGGGTACCCCCTGATGAGCGGTAGGTTCTCTTAGTAATTGTAATGACTTTCCTTCTTGTCTTCACCCCCTCCTCGTCGGGATAATCTGAAGTAGGTGTTGTTTCCTCTGTGGACACAACAGTTTTCTCCACAGGTAACTCCAGTTTCATTTTCTTGCCGTCTGATGTGCTGAAAGTCTGGTAAGTGAGAACTTTAGTGGACCGTGTTTCCAGACGATCTTTCATCTCAGACCAGCGCCTCTCAATGGACTGAACTCTACAAAGAGACGGAATACATGGCAGCTTAAAGGGGCTCAGTTACGGTATTTTGAGTTATTTTGGCCACATACAAAATTACCTCTAAATTAGAGGAAACCTAAAAATAAAAGTTTACTAAGATAGAAACACAACAAAGAGATAGTAATAAACCATAAAGGAACAAGGATGGTTAATATGCGCGCACTGTGACGTACATGTAGCTGCTTTAATGGCAGGTTAAAGAACGCTCAGTTTTTACTACAAAAAAACTTTTACGACGACTTGGTTTCGAATGATCTCAGATCTGTCTTTCCGTTTACACAGAAAGGATGAAACCGGGATAGAAGCTATTCAGTTTAGCCGAGAATCGTTAACTTCTAAAACCGAATTAAACAGAATTTTCTATGACTCCGAAACAAAATGCTTTGTTCGCGGACGAATCACTGTTTTATCCTGGTAAGAATATAATTGGTAAATTGTCAATGTAAGTTGCAATACATGTAAGTCAATATTTCCAAATTTTGTACATGTACTGGGATAACTTTGCAGTTTTTTCACAAGTGTATGTTATGTACTGTGTTTTTGTTACCAATAAAAGTTTACAAAAGAAATCACCGTGTTGTTCAAATATGAAACCCTTGTAGTTTAAACGTCTTACGAATCTGATTGTCCTAACGTCACTGGATCCGGAAACGTTTATTCTACCCTCTAGTTATTTAAGAAATCAAGTTGTGATCAGCAACAATTGCTTCAAGTTGAACGAGAAAACCTACATGTACTGGTATCGCTGAAGCCAAAGAGCAAACCAATGGTGATTGAAAAAGTAAAATTCGATCGTAATTTTTACAAGTCTGAATTACCAAGTTGCCGGATATAGACTTTCTTCTCACTTACTTGATTCGGAGTTCATCTGCTCGGGAGTAGCGACCAGCAATTAAGATGTCTACACCAGAGATCATGTGCTTGATACTGGACTCGAACATCTGCAGGAATTGTATCAAAGACAATTAACAGAACGCGATCCACTGGTACCCACAAGAACAGCAAATTGAATTTTAACGATTCGGTACTTGTACTTTCAAAATAACGTTTACGATTGTAACAATCTACACTTTTGCACAAGGAAAATTCAATCTACTTCCCCATGAAATGTTTTATACCCAACAGAACTTCTTTCGTTAAAATTTTGAGTCCTTTCCTTGATGTGTGTAATCATCCTACTCCAAAACACAGTGACTGGGAGACGGACATGAGGGATAAAAATACACTCCACTCACCACGAGGGACTTTTCAATCTGGTAGAAGTGTTTCCTTCGCGTATCGTTGTCAATGGTATCACCAACTTCCTCTTCCTGTGATTAGGAACAAGTGAAAAGTGTAACTACGTACGAGTCAATTCATTGAACAAAATAAGGGAAGCTAGCAAACAAATGAAAACCACGCCTATCGACAAAAAAGATATTCAACAAGTGAACATTAACACACATCCTGCCATTTCTGGAAAAAGTAATATTTTTTTTTCCAAATTTCTGTTTATACAGCCCATTGCTTTAAGTTTGGTAATGAGGCACTCCCACGTTAGTTTTCATATGAGGGGTTCTGTGCTAATCAGATGAGATCTTTTGTTGTATGCCTGTACAGTTTGCATAAATTCCGGGGTATAAATACATCTGTAACGTTCCGCATGAGTGGTGCGATGAGTGGCTCGGGCTCCAATGCTTTCAGGCAAGACATTTTCCTCCCACACTACCACTGCTATCCCAGGAGTATAACTATAAGCGTTAGGACAAACTGACTGAATGCTCGGGAGAGACCTGCAAGGGAGCAAGTATGCCATCCAAGGAGGAGTGGCAATTCTTAGCGTACAGGAAATATGGCCTGCTCCCAATTAGCCGGATTTTCAGATGGCCCGAGTGCGTCTACTTGACCTCGTTTCTCCCTCCTCTCAAGGAGTGAGAGTGAGTGACCTTAGACCGCTGGGAATCAGGCTAGCTCCCAGTGTGAGGCTCCATTCAGAAGGATGTTAGCAATGTTCCTTGTGATACTGAGATCAGACCGGTTAGACGACGGAAATGAAGAGCGATCTTGCTCATTCAACCATAGCCCTTCTTCTTGATCCCGCTCATGACAAGAATCTCAGTTTTACAATGAACTTACTGATTTGATCCTATCCTCGATGTCATCCAATGAAGCGTCAACAAGTGTTGCCTGGTAACAAAAATAAGACCATGAGATGTTAAAAACAAAACCCAATGACCGACTACTGGACTACTGGTACGGTAACGCGAAGGGCATGGGTTCAAATCTCACTGAAGCCCCACAATTTACCAAACTTCTAAACAAGGATGATGAAATTTTTCACTTTACTCGATCCACAGTTCACACGATTTCACTCATATACAATAAATGGCGCTAAATCAGGTTTTTATATCTATTCTATGTCCAATAGTTGAGTAACTCTCAGTCCCTATCGACTGACTCAGATCTGTAACCATTACCAACAAATTGTAATTTGAGTTTTCAGAAGTCGCTCAAAACGTTTCGTTAACATATGCACTCCACAGGGCAAGTCCTGTTATTGTCTTTCTGTTGTGTACTTAACTCTTACAAGCGTTAAGATGGGTGTTGTCCAACTTTTGGAGCAGCAAGATAAAAGGGAGCCAACCCTATAATGGAGTAGCATTCCATCCAGAGGGAGTGGTACTACAGGTATTCTCCTTATGTATCTACCGAAATGGTAATTAGAAGCTGGCCTGGTGAGATGCCAAGCTTGTAATGAAAAATACAATTTTACTTTTCTACAACCAAAAATTTTTGTACTGACCTCTTTTTGAATTTTTTCTGCCACTTGATACATCTGTTCAAGCCTGAAGAGTTACCAATACAAGCAAGTCATTGGTAAGAGCATCCTGACAGAAATCCCTCTCAAACACTGTTAATAATGGCCAATTTTGACCATTCTATCTTCTATGACATTTTTTTATTTCATGCATTTTTTTTTTCTGAAGTTTAATTTTTTTGGTCACAATAAAAGTAGAAATCAGCTTAACCCGGCCTATTCAACAGAAAAACAAAGTTCAACATGTGACTAACCTGGTTAGCTCAATTCTCAGTGACTTGTTGTAGTTATCCTGTGTCTCAACAAGCTTTGACCATGACTATCACAAAAACAATTAGGCTCAGTACACAACAAATGCATATTTTAACGTTTTGAAAATATAAGGTGGATCCAAACCCTACATACAGAATTTTTTAAACTTGGCCAAAAGTTGCGTCTTATCATGCTTATCCAAATTTGATAATACAAATACATTTCACGATGCCGTTTTTGAATTATAAGCTGCAATTAAGGGTGTTTTTAGCAGTTCATACTGTTGCTATGGTAACCTATTATGTCACAAAAATGATAACAATGTGTTCACCAATGATTGGGCAGTTTTTTGATACCATGATTGTAGCATCAAGTGATAAAGAGTGGTTATAATGACCCATCAAAATCTAAGTGTTGGAAACTGTTTTGAGTCACCTTATAAGCTAAAGAGAAATCTCTGGAAAATTTCAAAATTGGACTATGACCTCGTAAATCTATCTATGACCTTATAAATCTATCATTATGTTCAAACTATTCAATGTAGTTTTCCTTCTAATAAGTATTGTTTTCATTGTAACTAGGATTGTCATTAGGATGTAAAATTTCAGAGTCTATTTTTACTATTATAATAATACAGTTTTGTAAGTAAGGCCTGATGTTCTATTACCATTTAGTATAAATCTACTAGCGTTCTATCGTGAATGCCATTCTCTGATTGGCTACACTACTCACTATCTATTCTGTGATAGATAGTAGCATAGCAGTGTGCCCTTGATAACAAAATGACAGCCACTTCTTAGCCTTTTCAAAGTGTCTGTGAAGAGGATTTGGATAAAGTTTTGAGCAGCTTTCAGATTTATGCTAAAACAATTAAATTATTCGCTCTCGATTTCTATCGTGTGATAGTTGATGAGGGCGCAACCTGAGTCAACTATCACACGATAGAAATCGAGAGCGAATAATCTAATTGTTTAATGTAAATAACTGTGCACAAGTCACTTGAAAAAAGGCAGTTCTCACCACTTCCAATTCCCTGGGACTACATTCATAAGGAAACTCTAGCCAGGTTGCCATGGGGCCATAAAGAGCCTGATGGACAAATTATGAAAGCATAATGTTACTATTCATATTTTTATGGCAGTATAGAGACAACTGGTTTAAAATTGTTTTCTAATGTACAGCTGTCTTGTGTATTTTGGGGCCATCAGGCAGATAGGTGATTTGATTGAGATGTCCAAACAATCTAAATTTGAAGTACATTACATGAATACAGAAACCAAAACAATTTCCTCAGTTGATTGCCTAGACTAAACATCTTACCAATGGAATGACTGACCCTTGAAGCCTGACACAAAGCCTTTAACTGAGCAAATGTAAGCTCATGTCAAACGTTTATCAAGTATCATGGGTTTGCCCAGTTGAAATAAAGATTTGATAAAAGATCTAATTTTTTTTGCTTGCCTCGATCATTAGCTTTGCTGGTTTGCTTACAACTTCAAGGTTATCAACATCATTTAAATTAGTTCTTCAAACTCCTTGACAGAGCAGGAAAAGCAATCATTTTGTTTGTGGCATCCAAACAGTGTGCACAGGTCTGCATACATGTTTAAGTTCTGAGATAACCATACCTGGAGTTCACGGAAGACCATTTTCAAAGAATGCCTAGAGGCTTCCATGTCAGGAAATTCACTAATGCGATAACGGTTGTAATCAACTATCAGCTCCTGAAGAAGTTACAAACAAGGAATATTTCATTAGGTCATTAAAGTGCCAATGTAGTAAAAAATAATTCCTGCTTGTTTGAAAGGCTTTTCAAAGTAAAGAAGAATGGCGTTTTCCTTTCTGGAATGTCTCTTTTCATTTTTAGAGATATTTACGTTTTTTGTAAGGAAAGTGATGACGTCATAGGTGGTTCCACTAAAACAGCACAACACTCAATCGAGAATAACTCTAGAAATATTAAAGCAGAGTTCTTTAAACTTGGCACCAGAAATGTACATCACAAAAGAAACAGAATGACATCCGTCGTGCCATTGCCATGACAACAGTTATGCCGCTGGTCCTGTTTTAATTAAGACTAAAATTTCCAGATTTTATCTTAAACAAGGATCATCCACCCCCACCAATCTAATGGGGAGAGCTAAGACAATATGGGAATCATGTGTGTTCTGAGCAAGACCCTCTGTCCCACCTTAAAAGGTTGCAAATGGGGATATTTGGTTTTTCACAGAATGAGACTGGAGCCAAGAGTGTTGCCATGGCAACAACATAGTAGGTGTCATTCTGTTTCTTTTGTGATGTACATTCCTGGTGCCACGTTTGAAGAACACTGCTTTAATATTTCTAGAGTTATTCTCGATTGAGTGTTGTGCTGTTTTGGTGGAACCACCTATGACGTCATCACTTTCCTCATTAGCATAATACAAAAATGTGAATATCCCTAAAACAAAAAAAGATATTCCAAAAAGGAAAACGCCATTCTTCTTTACTTTGAAAAGCCTTTCAAATAAGCAGGAATTATTTCTTACTTCATAGGCACTTTAAAATACAATTTAAACTTGCACCAACCAACCTTTATTCCTTGGACAGTCTTTGGGAACCTCTGTTTTTCCAGTCTTTGTATGACTCTGTTAATTTCCACCACAAGCACCTTTGCCAGGTTACAGTACTCTTCAAACTTAAAGAGCTTTTCCTACAAAAGAAAATAGAACAGGAAATGCATTGTGCATGAAATCTAAAATGACTAAACAATACTTATTAGAGATTGCATCCATTAAAGTACAGTTTGATAATTTTTGGCATTAAAGCCACGGGATGGAAAAAGAGGTTGGAATAACAAGATCTTGTGAACTTCTTGTTCACATTTACAACATATACACTTACATTATCATGCAGTGCTTCCTGAACAGTGGGCTCTTTTGGAAATATTTCGTACAGTGAGGAAACATAAGTCATAACTGACTTTTCATCTGGATGGTCTGTGTGAACCAAGTCTAACACAAAAAGAAAAAAACAGGTGAGTAACTATAACAAAAGATTTGTCATGGCAGACTCCAGGTAGGAATCTAATCTACTAACCATAAGACAATCTCACCTTAAAATGCTTTCTTAGAAGCAATACATGTACCTCATTTAATGAAGTAATAATGGGACAATGTTAGAGAGCAATGCTAGACACAAGACACAAGGAGGATTTGGGCTCAAGGTTGCATTTGATGTATACATGTACCTAAACACATGACATAATTATATTGACTTTGGTGGTATGAGATACACATATTGACAAATAATTATTCATTCCTTTTTTTTAACCTTCAACGTCCAACAGCCTAGGAACACCAAGTTCTTTCTCTGCAACATGAAATGAGTACTCCAGATTTTGATCAGGGCTTGCTTTATTCAGCTTTGAAAAGTCCACAAGATCTGGCCTATCATTAGGCAAAAAATATCATTAATTAAAATATCATTAATTATTACAATGAATGTTGGCAATGTTTCCAAGAATTTTGATGTGTATTGAATGTGGTAAGCTCTAGTGACTTCATCACATAAACAGAAACTGTCACTTTCTTTCACTTTTATTACTTACCTATATCTGTGGATAATTGCATTGAAAGCTAGGCCATCTTTCCATGATGAGGTAAAGTTTCCAACTTCCACTGAAGGGTACCTGGAAAAAAATTTTTTTTCTGATCAATTCATTACTTTTAGAGTCAGAATCTTTAACACCTAAAGAAAAGACATGCTGATATCAAACAAACAGTAAGCAGTTTTTCATTCAATCAACAAGCTAATCCATTAACAAAAAAATTAAATACCCTTTCTACTGTAACTGGATAAAACTTTTCAACTTAAGGAGGGGGGGCATTGGGGTATATTAGAAACTGCAAAACCGAAGGAAAAATTATCCAAAACCGCCAAAAAAATTCGACCAAAACCGAAAACCGCATACAAAACCGCCAAAAACCAATACAATAGTGACAAGTGGGGCATACAGAGCAAACTATACTAACACTAATTTTATCAAAGTATTTGTGAATGTCATGGACTTGTCTGAAGCCTTCGTATCTTTTAGTATCATTTAGCTTCTGCAGGCTTCTCTCTTCCCTTTTCACTTTAGATCTAAACATGTTTTGCTTTCAAAAATTCTCACCGTCTTTCGCCCCCTCCTCCTTAAAAAAAAACGCAACACAATCCACAATTGCTTCTTCCGTTGCTGGCACGGAAGGTACGATGACCAAATGATTGCTCTGGTCTGCGAGGTCAAAGTCTCAGGCATCATTCAAGACGTGTGATCCCCTACCATGACATTTAGTTTGTCACGCATTCCACTCAATAACTTTGGCATTTCACGGCTACCTGAACCCAAATAGGACAAAATAGGAAAAACCAAATACCACATTGGATACCAAAACCAAAAAACATGAAAACTGAAAACCAGATGCTAAAAAGCGAAAAATCTACAAACCGCAATGAACACAAAAACCGAAAAACTGAAGTCTTCTGGCACAAAAACTGAAAAACCGATCTAAAAACAGCCAAAACCGCACACCGAAAATCCCAATCCCCCCTCCTTAAGCCCAGTCCCCTTTTCACTTTCAGAAGTCTTTTTTTTGTACTATCTCATTATTTATTAATATCTAATAACTTACCTTATCAAATAATCAACCATGTAAAGTAAACCTTGGCACCTTTACCAAACTTTCATATTTAGACATTTTTCCAATATACTTTATGCTTAATTAAATAATTTCTGTGCAACCAATAACCAAGGCTACAAATAGAATGATCAATAAAAAGCTATAATTTGCAAAGACTTCTACTGTTCCAGCCAATTGCTTTGTAGTTGTCAACAAATACTTCGACTTGTTAGAGTTTGGATCTCATAAAGTGCAAATTCAGTGAAATATTAGTTTCAAGCATTATAATAGGACTGTGAAAATTGCATCATTGTGATTGGTTGAAAGAAGGGAAATTCTTCGTTCATTTTCAATTCCTCAGTCATATAAGAAATGAATAACAGTATAAAAGCTCCAGCAAGCAAGAATTTACACAAGTTATGGCATTTGAAAATTCTTTCAAACAGTACTCACCTAAAGGCTGATGCAATATGGAGAAAATTTGCAAATGTCACTTCTAGTGTAAATCCTTATTTTACTTGCATTCATCTGATTACCTTATATACTAATCTTTCTACAAAGAACTGCAGTTACTCACGACTGATTCATTCATTCATTTATGCAGTTACCGGTAAACCCTGCTATCTCAACCTGTTAAGGGCACTAAGATAGTTTGAGATGTCGGGGAATTGAGATAGCTGATAGCAAGTGCCTTAAATAGTGGGGATTTCATTAAAGTATTCAGCAGGAAGGCAATTGGTTTTCACAGGCAGACTCGTTTTGAACTTGCTGCTATCTGGAACTCAAGAACTGAATGATATCATTTTCTCTTGGATATACTTTAGTTCATGATAATATTTCAGGAGTTTCATTAACGGCCAGGCACGGGGCAAATTGACCAGCTTTGAGGACAAGTTTGCCTGCCTGGTTTGACCATCTAGAGGAATTTTTTCTTTACTTAGAAGTTCAGTTTGAGATAACCAAGTTTTGAGATAGCCAGGTTCTATTGTATATTTTCTGATGTACATACACATAATCACTCTGGAATACATGCAGATAAAGATTTACATAGAAATAGAGCCAAAACACAGCATACCCCTGAGTTACTTTCTGTGCCCACAGGAGAAGTGCCTCTTTGGCTGTCATTTGGTCCTGTTTTCCAACAACTTCCACCTCTGATATCTACATATATTAATACAGTAGCAAGTCAGTATGCAACATATGTTTGGGAAACAGGTTTTAAAATCATTGAAGTAATGGTTGGAAGCATTTTCAATCAACAACCGTGTACATGTACTGATAGGTGGAGTGGGTTAGATATAGCCTGGAATCCCATAGGACAGACTTATATTTGTACAAGGATCTTGCCTAAACTTCAAGCTTACATGAATGGAATGCTGTTATAAACTAACATCAAAATTTATGAAGATACATGTAAAAAGTCTCTACAGTAGCAATATAATATAAAGAATAAAATGAACCACAGTTGTGAACTTTAATGTCACTCTTTTAGAGATTTCATGACCTCAACAAGTTTAAGAGGATCATTATATGTGTGTAAAGGATTTGGAATCCAAGATGGAGGGAGGTGGGGCATTAATATTTTTGGAAGTTCACCGCAACCCATACATATTTACCATTAATTTGTATCTAACCTGGTAGTGCAAGATGATTGTCCATATCAACCCAAGAGTAAGTTTGGGATTACCATCCACAATGTCTTCGCTTCGAATGTTCACAAGTTTAACCTGAAGTTACAAAAACACCAGTGACATCGAGTTTTGTGTGAGGACTACAGAAGTGAAGGGAAAGTTGACAAGATCTTGTTCACGGATGTGTACTATACTGGAAAGCAAGGTGGGAAGGGTATTGCACTGTTTTATTTTGGGCTACTGAAGCTCATAGTTCTTGTGTTTTGTTTAGGGACTACATGTATGTAGGCATTTTACTTCACTGTGTCTTTTTTCACCTAAATAAAAATTCATTTTCTTGTATACCTGCTGGGACTGAAGAAACTCCAATGCAGTCTGGACATTCTGAAGTCTGTGAAATCGTAACTGACCTCTTTCTCTTGGCTAAAAAAATATATAAGAAAAGCTCTTTATTACATGCATGTATTAAATAAACAGCTGGATCACTTAAAATCAGTGAAAAGAAAAACACAAATCAAATTCTGCAAGAATGAAAAATGCCATGGAATCACAGTCATGCTTTTTGATTAGTGTTCCACAGCTGTTAAACAACACCTAAGTTTTCAACCTCATACAGAAATGTGGCCAATACAATCATGTTGATTACACAAACTTCCTTTTGGTTAAATCTGCAAATGGGTCAGCCATACCCCTGAAACTAATTTCAGTTTTGCAGCATAAGCAAGTTACAGAGCTCTCAAAGTGATTTATTGCCAGTATGTGGGATTGCAGATGGCATTTCACCTGTAGTCATACATGGTGTCGGCAAAGGAATCACCTCACTAATGTGGGTGACCTAAAACTACACTGTATGAGCCTAAAGATAACGATATGAAAAATGTTTAAAGCCATGAGAGAATTTCAAACCCCTCCTTAGGCCGAAAATGTCTCGGCATAATTATTATTCTATCCCAATTTTGGAACACCAACTCCCTTGACCTCATGAAAGACAAAGGATCCTTCTAAAGGAAGATTTGTAAGCTTAAAATACTCGAAGATCTTTGATGATAATTTTGACAATCGTAAAGAATTATGAGCAGGATTATCTTGAAGAACTCAGTAATCTTCAATAGAATCTTCAAAAACTCCTCACCAAGATCTTCAAAGATCTTGAAAAATTTTTGGCAAGGATTTGGTACAGTCAGTACATTTAAATAACAACATTTAGCTGATGGTATAGTGGTAAATAGCTATAGACACCTGTATACCAGGGAAAACGTACCAAGTTAGTTTTACAAAGAAGCTCTAACAGTAGTAAAAGATTATTTCCATCTCGAAGTTCTTCATAAAGATCCAAAATTCTCACATTAACCTAAGGAGAGAATTCAAAATGATAAGAGGTAAATTTCATCTGGATATCTTACACATCAATATTACTGGAGAAGTACATGTACATGATCTCTCTTTGATTTATATGACCCAGCAGAGGAAAATATTGTAAAATGGCAGATTTTGAAAATAATGTTGACTTGTAAATAACCTAGCTAGCCATATAATAACTCTCCCCTGGATCAGTGGCAATAGGTCCATAAGTGATATATGTAATATAGGTCCATAAGTGATATATAATATAGGTCCATAAGTGATATAAACTGCTCCAATAACGTTCTCATTTCTTTCCTAATTACAATTGTTCCATTACAGCAGTATTAAACACCAAGTTAACATGCAGTGTACCTTTGTGTAACTATTTTTTAAATTTAATAATTATGTGAACAAAATAAAAATTAACTATAAATATATAAATAAAATTATTTTTAAACAGAGTTATTAAGCTCGTAAATAAACTAAATGGAAACAAAAGATATTCTGCTCAATTGAAAAGAATGCATAATGAAAACAAATTCTTCCAATGGTATTTAATTTTTTGGACAGCATGCAGGATCAAATTGGCAGATCACATATGGGAACTCCCTTGAAAAACAAAACAGGAAAACATGCCACGGTTTCCTGTTTTGTTACAAAATGTTGCTTGCTGGTCTTACATAAATTTTCTAAATAGCTACATGTTTTGGGACTTAAACTACTTTATATAACTCATTTACGATAAATGCCTTAATGTGTATAAAGTAGAGAGATTGAGATTGGTACATTATCCATGAAATTTCATCAAAGATTTCACCTACAAAAATAGTGTTTAACACGTTTCAAAATTTCAAGACCTTATAAGTACAGCATTACATTCACAGAAAACAATGTGCTAAACTCTTTATCAAAAAGAATAGGTTCCACTCTTCATCTATTGTACTGTAAAGTGAATTCAGTAACATTACTGTGAAACCACAAATAGTCGTGGTTTAGCTATAATAACAGAACGAATTAGATGGCAAAGATCATCTCTTATCAGACTAAAGTTTCAGATGTTCATATTAATTTTTGGATACGAAATTTAATCATATGGTAGATAACGTGTGTAAATTGTAGCAACGGGAGCTGCTGTAACGTACACTGAAATTGACAACTAGCAGTTAATTATGTCAGTGAAATTGACAAGCTTACTTTCTGAAGATGGTTGTTGACCCATTTTGTAAAAGTCTTCTTTTGAACGGCATCTCTGTGATCTGTGAGGAGACAAAAGAAACGTTGGAGCCATAATAAGTTGTAAAATAGCCTCCAATTAAATCCGACGAGTTCCAGTTGTTCTCCTTTACGTAAAAATTGTAAATTAACGGGCGTTTAGATTGCTTTTCCGTGGTACTAAACCAATGTAAGCATGACATAACACCACGCAAAACCAAAGGCTCTTTATATTTGTAGTAACTCAGAAAATTTGGCGTTCAATAATTTCCACTGTTGATATTGGGCACCTATTTAAGCGAAGCAACGCTTCTTATCTGCTTAAAACTACTAGTTCACATGTAATTCCGTTAATTCGACCTCTTTGCTCTCATCAACTATTCACATGACTGCAAAAACAAGACGCCTAGATTTCACGAGACTAAGTGTCTTTCTTAACAGCACGACACATGGACCGCACTAATTACCTGGTTCACTCCGCCTCAACTCGATCATGAGCTCATAAACATTCTCGTCTTCTTCCTCAACCTCCCCTGACTCGTGGTCCGCCATTTTATTTTGTTGCCGTGGTGCTAGCTCACGAATAAATGACCTAGGCAGGTCTGATTACTCGCGAGTGAATAATGCAGCTATTCAAGGTCATTTCACAGCCAGTCTTGAAAAGAAATTATCCTTGAACATCGCCTTGTTTTGGTCACAGAGTGAGCGATATTATTCAAAACACCAGACGGAAAGAGGGCTGCAAGGGCAACTAATACTGTACAAAACGCCCGCTAATACACGAAGTTACCATATCATTCGCGCAGAATTTTCTTGAGGGTTCGAATCCAGATGATGTTTTATGCAACAGGAATTTAAATTTCCCCTCCCAAGAGATAAAGAAAAGTGTTCTGCTCTCCTTCACTGAATCAGCTGAATGCGTGATGTGCGAAATGTTGGAGCGTACTGTGACCGAACAGCAGAATCTGAATAGACTTATCTTGGCCAATATAAGTTTCTGAAATATGAGAGCGAGCGATCTTTGGGGTGTGGGGACAAAACAATGTGCTAAATGACCTCCTCCAATAGTTATCATACAGTCCGATAAATTCTTAATTTAATGCAAATGCTAGGCCAAACGGAACGGTTCGTCGACAGCTTTTCTAGACGTAATATCATTATATATTTTTTTAATCAACTTTCGTTATCTCTTGCTACTTAGCTGAGCTCGTGAGAGTTTATTTGCCTTGTCCTGAGTTAGGACGCAGCCGAACTCCTTATCTCACGCAAATTGTATTTTGTAATAAACAAAACGTGTTTTGAGGAAGACACTGGAAATTCGAAAAAGGCAATGACAGTGACATAATTGCTCGTTTTGAGTTATGAGGCAGACGTCTTTTTAATTTTAAAGGATATAGAAAATGGCAGTGTTATTGCAGCCAAGAACAATAACAAATAATTCAATTGACAGTCTCGAAACAGTTAACAAACATCAAGTTATTTTCTTGCCATGAAGTTGATGTATTAAACATATTACAACCAAAAACGACATGCTAGACAGCCATTAGATAGTGGCTCGCTATTACTGAAGATTTGGTCAGCTTAATTATAATACTGAACTCAGAGAGACTTCAAAGAAAACAAAATTAAACAAGCAATTGTCCAACACAGCAAAGAGTGAATTGGTACAGTTTCATTTGAAGCGTTTCCTCGTGAACAGATCAGTACCAGAAAGAACATAATCATTTCATTTAAGTTAATCAGCTTTTCGAAAGTAAGGGTGGAATTATGCCCAAAAAAGCACGCTTACCAGCAATTTTACACACCGCTCTGTCAGCAACGTTCGACGGGCTTCGAGTTCCAGAACGAGACCTCGGCCTGCCGTGAATCGGAGTACTTGGCCTAGACATAGCAGACAGTAAAAGGTGGCGACAACTTCATCGTCTGCTCAGCCAAAAAGGAACAAGTGTTTGTCACACGGGTGAATCTTGGGTTTGGCATCACAACCGACGACCAGAAATTTCCACATGCAAATAAAAATTATAAAGGGAACTTACGTTAGTTACTGGTGTCACTTCAAAGACAACAAGCGAGCGCTTGACTGACAGTGTTCTACAATACCTCGTAGCGCCAACACAACGAACAAAGTAAAGCAGCTCCAAGGCACTAAATTAAAAATATAACAGGGATCGCAAAATTTTCCTCTTCACCGATGGGCCACCATGTTTTCCCACGCTTTGAATATTCATAACTTTGCTTTGTACCGGCGTGTATTGTGATTGGTCAAATACATAAGAAGCAAGCGCAGCCAAGCGCGTGACACGTTTTTGGCGCGTAACATTGTTCATTGCGCGATCGTGTTGTCACGTTTGACGCTTGTTTATATCATTTCCCCTGTTTGTTAATTTTTCGACAGGAGATTAGCAGCCGATTTTCAATTAAACGACGTCGATTAAAGCGCCAAACCGCTTGGTTTTCATCGAAACATGGGTGGTAAAATGATCGATTCAGTCTACTTGCGACCATTGAATATTTTAACTCGAGGATGTTGATTTCACGCTAAGCGACCAACTGTGAAATGAAAGCATGGGCGCGATATATTGCGTGCTGATAAATGGGTCATGACAATATTAAACGTGTGAAATATGATAGATGGGTTATACTTTTTACAACTTAGTAAGAAAGGTAGTCAAAGATACGACGACTTGTCGACAATCTGGCTTCAAACTTGTACACACTCTAGAATGTGCCAACTGAAAGTGTTTCGTGAATAATTCGCTCCTTTTTTCGAATAATTATAATAAGGGTTACGTGGTGCATTGTTATGAATCGACGATAAAAATAAACAGTGACAGACTAAACAATTGCAAATGGGGGTTAGTTCTTGAACTCAAAGTCCTTCGCCAACAAAATTAATCCTTTAATATTCCAAAGTATGCTTGAAGATATTATCGATTCTATGGCGAAATATTTGAAGAGGAAAGAACCATTTGACGTCGTTAAAACTCGACTTTATTTCCGGATTCCAATATTTGGTAAGAATTATCTGAAGCCGTCGAACTCTCGACTTTCGTCATCGCGTGACAAATACATAATACGGCTGAGAAGCTAAATTGCAAAGAACTGTCTTCCGGTCGCAAGGTCAAGCAGAAGTGATTGTGGTTTTTAATTTCATCATTGGGTGTGGACAGGGATAAAATCAAATGCCTACAAGACGCCGCCTAAAGTGAAAATTGTTGAAAACTTCGAATTTGTCAATTTCATCAAGAATTCGTGTCGACAAAAGCTTTAGTGCTGACAGGTTCCGTTCCAAAAACAACCTCTGAGAGCGCATTTCCATCTTTAATTGAGCAAACAATCATGTCTCAAATGTAGACTGCTTGTCTGCCAGTCTCTCAGTTCATATGACCTTTCAAATTTTGGCATGAATCCAGTGTTCCTCGTGGTATGGTTTAATAGAGCCCATCGGGCATCCCCGAGCCCCCCTCCCTCCACCAAAAATACGAACACTGGTACTTCTACTCAAGTTGGCAATGTCGTTTAGTAGTAATGGGGAGGGAATAGTTGTCTCTCACTCCTCACTTCTTATTGAAAGAAGGTTAGGTCAGGAAAGAGAACCTTGTAACACGAGCAATAACGTCTCCACTAAGCTCCCCACCACCCCCTCCCCCCGCTCCCCCGCCTAGGCTATTTTTCTTAGAAAATTGGGAGGGGTCCGTCCTAGTTTCTGAGAAAAAAAAAAGCTCCGGGCAACGAGATTGGGTAGTGTCACGCTACTTTATTAGGCTAGAACACATCGCCAGAGTTGAGGGCTTCCCAGGGGGTAGTATGTTCCCTTGAAAATTTCACGTTTTCTCCCTTGTTCCTTATTAATAAATTCCATTGTTCCCTAAATTTTTTTGTCAAAGTACCCTTTAATAGTAGAAATATCCCTTGCTCCGTCAAATTAATCCAAACAATATTCCTTGTTCTCTTGAACATATGATCATGTTTCCTTGATCCCAAAACCCCTGAGAGGGGAAGCCCTCAGAGTTGTAAAGCCTGAGAAAAGGTAGCCAAAGCAAGAAATTCAGCAAATCTCTTGTGAAAGCACTGAAAGTTATTAGTTCGCGATGAGGACCTCCCTTTTGATTTCAACTGCTGAGCTTCTAAGAAAGCGGTGAGCTCGCGTATAAAATGTAGATTCACACGGGTGTGTACTCCGCTGAAATGTTACGCTGGAAAATGAAAATTATCTTGTTTTCAAAGAGATACTGCAATGGCGACTCTAGTTCTACTGGACCCCTCGTGTGCGTGAACGCCTACAGCAGGAGTCAGTAAAACCGGGCATGTCCGATTGCACGCGCAAACTGTAGGACAAGATCCACACTACACTGGAGGAATTTAGAAGCGCAACAATCGCTGGTCATTTTGGATTTGTGTTTGAGGAAAACTCGAGCAGGGAAATCACATGATTATCGTGGCTACATGGTTTTCCTAAAGTTCCGTTTTTTAAATGTTTTCCGTCCACACGAAAACGAAAAGCTGGCGTTTACAAATTCCTCCGGTTTAAAGAGCGTTTTTGAAAAGTTCTGTTTTGGTGACAGATTAGTGTGAACGGTACGTAGAAATAAGTTAAAGCTGCGTTTTCACAAATTTCTCCGGCGTAGTGTGGACGCTGCCTAATAAGGTGGTCCCTGAGATTTCTCTTTCAATTCCATGAAACCAAATAAAAAGAATCGTCTACCCATTAAAAACTTAAGTCATCGTTAATTAATCCTGTTATTACTTTCTGAAGCATTTGCAGGCTAATTGGCTTACAAAAGGTGAATAAAACAAAGAAGCTTATATAGGTCAATAACTTGAATCCATACACTTATTTATTTTTTTACTTAGCCGCATTCCAGGAAGAATTGAGATGCATAGGAGATCGAAGTTCGACTGAATATGATTGCACATATTTTAATCATTAATCTATAGTTGTAGAATGTTGCTAACGAGACAATTTTCAAAATATAAACAACTGCTTACCTTTCTATGATATCCACACCTCTAAAGCAACAACGAAATAAACATTTTATACAGCTGGAAGGGTGGATCGTTTCCTGTCAGGAGTTCTCTCACAGCTATTGGAACGCCAATGTTGTTTGCGCGTAAACGTTGCACGTTAACCTCTAAGCGGGAGATGATGATTTAATGAAGCAGGCACGAACAGGGCAGCTGCTATGGAATACGTAATTTCGACCTTCCTTGTGCCACTTGTGCGTTCAGTTTGCTTCTAAATGTATGTCTATGTGTAATGGTTAAGGACTTGATCGTGCGTTCTGCAGTTCCCTGCAGTCACTCTGTCCGTTGTCGATCGAGTCAAGGGTAATGACTGGGTAGACAACCGAAAAAAACTGGTGACGAGTAAAAACAGGCGTAAAACGCAGATTGCGGACTGCAGAAGGCCCGTTTCTCGAAGGTCCCGAAAAGTTTTCGCACCCGGAAATCTCAGACCTCGTGACTACAGAGTTATTTTATTCACATATTCTTAATATGAACGGAGGTTTTCTTCATACAAAAAGTTTCAGGCGTATACACTTATCTGTTTTTAGATACACAATAATTAATTAAAAATTGCTTTGCGGGCCTGAAAATTAAAGTTTCCGGGGCTTTCGAGAAACGGGCCCCAGCTAGGGGCAAAATGCAGACTTTTCAACTCAATCGTGTTACCCTTTGCATTATTGAGAACTTACTGTAAACAGGCTAACCGGGGCGTTATTTAAGCTAACCTGGAAGCTGAGTGATATTCAGGCTTACCGTAGTGCAGACTTTTTCTACAATTAGCCTAAATAACCCTGTTTAGCCTAAATAACCTTGTTTACGGGTAGCACTCGATAATAGAAAAAACGCGATATATACTTATCGAAAATCTGTAATCTACAGTTTGCATTTTACCCTCAGTCTCCGGTATTCGTTTTACATTGACCGTTATAAGACAAATGAGAGAAGTTTCTCCCCGTTCTAAAACCCGCCCCCTTCGCCGCCCCACCCCTGCCCTCATTCCTCTCACATCCTTTTTCCACTCTTTTTTTTCTGTACACTAACTTGAATTTTAACTCGTGTGGACTCATGTTTTGTTCTCAAACCAGTAAGTAGGTATTAGTTTGTAAAGGACCAGCACCCCACGCATACCGAGTACCTCCTACGCAGGCGTTACTCCGCAAGCAAGAAAATATTGCGTGACTACTGCGTAGCAGACCCGGGGTAACTCCCATAAAATTGGGTGGGAGTGTACGTGAAAAATCTGCGATCTTTCCTACCCTATTTATTACCTGACAAACAATTCGATACCCGTTTTGAGACCTGAACATTAAATCAATAACCTCTTTCAGACCTGACACATAAAGCTCCCTAGTTCAGACTGATAGTAAAGGCATTGTTTGTTGATGGTCTTAACGATAAAGATGAAAAAGTAGTTTCTCCTGAGCATACCCAAGTCAAGACTAGAGTGCAAAACCTATACCCTATTTGATACCAAAATTTCCAAAATCAATTCGCTATTTCTGATCAAAACGGCTAAAACATTATACCCTCTGGGGCCGCACATACCTATATGACCCATATAAGGGAGTACCCCACCAGGGTAGGATCGAAGGTTACAGTTCTAGTAATGGTAGTCATTTCATTCTACAGAACTGGGAGTAAGTCGTGTAATGTGGACTAATTGATATGTACACACTAGTGATTAAAAATTGCTCAAACTAAAATTCCTTAAAAAATGTATTGCCAAGTTCTCTTTTTGTTTGCTTGTAAAC